GACCATTATATAGTAATGAAGCTGTGATAAGAGTCTATTATAACACCAAAATAATAGACTAAATTTAATTCTACTTAAACAAATGGCTTTCACTTTGGTTATGACCACTTATTTAAGTATTATGAATAATAAAATAATGATGTGCAATTTGAATGTATCACATCACCTTTGGGCAGAAGTGAAACATTTAAATTTTAATGCACATATATATTTAGTTCGCAGTACATAATTATAACACATCATCTTTGGACATAAGTGAAATATTATGTATTTAAGGCGAGTGTCATGCAAATATCTATTTAAGGATATGCACCAAATGACAATGCTTAATAAGACTTGAAATAAATTTTACAAATGTTACACATCACCTTTGGGCAGAAGTGTATTCTAAGATATTATTCAAGTCAAGCAAAATAAATCAATTTAACTAATCATAAAAGTAAATTTTATTTAAGATTAGTCAAATGATTTATAATTTAATGTTAACCGCAAAAGTTATAGCGGTTCGGGGCGGGGCTACAAAATTGGGGACCCATTAAGATTAATTTAATTAGAAAATCAAAGGCATATAAGGCAAGAGATTTTCCAACAAGTAAAAAAAATTTAATTTTTTTTAAAATGGTATTTTAGCATATCCCATATTTAGTTTTGCTATTCTTGGTAAAATAAGTCAATAAAATAAGGAAACAGAATATATCATGCAAAAGTGAGATATGCCCTACAATTTAAGGAAACACAATTATATTCCAAATCAAATACCAAAAAAAATATATTATTTCATCAAACTAAGGATGAATAAGAATAAATTATTCAAATTATAGTAACTGGAAAAACTGATTTTGTGCATCGTAAGTCACATAATTTGTTTTAATTTGAATGGAAACTACAATCAATTAATGTTCTCTTAAGAATATTGTATAATTTCCGAATCATGAATAATTTACTGACATTTAAAATCACAAAACAATAATTTTATGGATTAATTTTCGGAGATAAGGAAAAAAACCCGATCTCGATTTTAAGGAATTAAAATCATTTATATTGATTCTCAAAATAGATCAAAGTTTCAGTCCTTTTTTTTTCTTGTGATGTCAGTAACTCATTGGAAATAAGAGGCAAGGATTAAAACAAAAGTTGAAAAAGTATGATGCACCAACAAATCGGAAATAAGATGCGAGGGTTAAAAAAACTTGTTTTTCCCATTACAATTCCGATCTTGTGATTAATAACACTAAGAAGTTGTATTTTATTCTCTTTCGATTTTAATTCCAGGGTAGCGAAAAAGAGAGAATTAATTAATCAACATAAAGCTCTGATACCAGATGTTGATCAATTCTTAAACATAAAATATAAATTAGAGATTTAATCATGTGTACTTGATAATCTTGTAAACGTAGTTAGGGATGAGGTCATGATTCTCACGCAGATCGAGTTCCCGTTTAGGGTGTATCGTTATGATGGCTAAGGTGAGGGCGAGACTCACGAGAATAGAGAGACAGAGAGGAGGCGTAAGATTGGTGTGTTAATCTCTGCCTAATGACCTCTCTATATATATATATACACCCAAGGGGAAACCCTAATTAGGTCATAAGGGTAATTACGTTCATCGAATAATTACCAATTAAATTGTAGGGAATTTATTAAGTCAATGATCAATTAATTAGATAAATGATAACTCAGGCCACATAATAAAATCGTGTCCAACAATGCGGTGGTCGTCCTCCTCAGGCGACCCTGCCGCCACGAGCCAGTAAACGCACACCCTCCTAGTCTGGCCGGGCCGGAACGCCCGGCCCACCGCCTGTCGGGTGACCGACGGGTTGAGGTGCACGTCCAGCACCACGACCCGTGACGCCCCGACGAGCGAAATCCCCTCCCCGCACGCCCGGATCGACCCGAAGAAAACCCAGGCGTGCGGGGACGAGTTGAACGCGTCCACGGCCGAGTCCTGGGCCGTGGACTCGGAGTCCCCCGTGATGATCACGAACATCTCCTTCCCAAGACTGTACCCTTTGATCTTCCCTGTCAACCTCTCCGAGAACTTCAATGGCAGGAGGTACGTACTGACTGAAAACCAGAAGCTTTTCCCCACAAGACTCACACAGATTCAACAGATTCAGGTAGAACTTGGTCTTGGCCCCCTCTTTCACATCCAAATCTTCTAAAGCCCCAAAGATTTTCCCTGTTGATTTCAGCTTTGGGTGGATGTACATAGCACTGCCCCGTCGCTGCTCGGACACTGTGGGGCCCGCTCTTCACACTTCTGCTGCTCTTCTTGGCCTGAACATTTGCAAAGATCACAGATATATTATTAAGGCCGTGTTTGGGTGGGCAATGAGTTTGAAGGAAGTGTTAAGAGTGACAGACCTTTCCACACTGGAAGTCAATTATGGTCTCAATGCTCTCCAGAATGAACCCACAAACGCGGCACACAGTGCCAATGTCTTCCTTCAGTATGAAAATGTGGTCACAATCTCCATTACCCTAGCTTTATTATTCCATTCTCTTCTGAGGAATATTGATCAGCTGATGTGTCCTGTGACGTGTTTGTTTGACACATTCTTTTAGTAAAATTTGCACTAAATATGACTAAAACATAATGACTTTCCTAATCTATGACTTAAACTTTTTTATTCCCTAAATAGGACTTAATAATGTCTTCGTGGAAGGAATAATGCCCAGCAATGATAGACATTACTTGAATAATGACTAAAGAATAATGACCAAATGTCCTACATTCGAAAATAAAAACATATGGTCCTATTTTAGGAAAGTCATTATGTTTTAGTCCTATTTAGGTAAATTACTCTTATTTTAAGCATATTATGATATCATGCATCTACATTTAATTTTACGATCCAAATTTGGTCCACGTTTTAGTCAAAATTTTGACCAAAATGTCAACCAAACTTGGGATGCAATTGGGGGATGGGCTAGAAACATTAATAGTGTGAGATTTGGTGACAAGGGTACCTTGGAGTATGCCATAACAAATGCCATTTCCTTCCATACATCACCCACATCATCATCATCATCATCATCATCAAAATTCATCATAAGGTCCATTAATGGATTGCTCATTTGCATCATCATCGATCAACAGAATGAGAATCAGAACCAAGAATGACAGTTTAAGGTTTCTGGTTTGCAGCAGCATAAAGACCCTGATCAGATTTCTCATTTGCATCATCATCACCGCCATCAGAATGAGAATCAGAATCAGAATCAAGAATGACAACATGAGGTTTCTGGTAGGCTTTTGAAGCAGCAGAAAGACAGTATTTTTCAAGAAACAGTCTCCTTCTTGCGATGAGTTCCTCAATGTCTTTAGCAACACTTCCAAATTTCTCAAGATTTAATAATCCCTCCTGCAGATTGCACAGATCGAACGGATCAGAATAATCCTGAGCTGCCACGGGGCAGAATCTGGGCCGTTTCTTGTTCTGTCCATCTTTACAGAAACCCATTCTGCTCCTCATCATCTCCATCAGGTTTCATCTACCTGCTTCGCAAATGGCACATATCATCAGAATCTCAAATGTTTAACAGTGGATAGAGTATCGGGTAAAATTAACCGCTTGCATATAAAGTCGGGATCCACAATTCTAACCCAAAAGCTTAAGCTGATAGGTAGGGCTTCACCGTTCTATATATGCTAGTGATACTCATCTTTATTATTTTCCGACGTGGGAACTCCAACAAAGAAAGGTTTGAAAACAGATTTTATTTATTTATTTTAAATAAAACCGCTGGGTCTGCCAAAGCAAGAATCCATGAAAGTGGAGGTTTCACCACTGCTAGGCCATCCTTCAATGGCAGCTTCCATCAGCAATAAAAAAACAGCAGGAAAAAAACAAAAAGATTGAATCTTGGACTATTTATTACTCAAAAAAAAACCCCCCAAAAACTTGAATCTGAAGATTCATCATAAGCAAAAGAAACAGAGAGAGGAAATGAGCTACTGGGCATTTTTCTTTTTGTGGGGGGGGGGGGAGACTCACATTGAGGTAATAATCTTCAATTCAAATGGGGTGGAAGAGAAAGGAGTAAAATGTGGGTGGATTTCTTTCTTGAGGGAGGGCAAAATGTGTTTCCTCGGAGAATTTGTGTGTGTCTGTGGGTGTGCAGGTCAGGTGCCCGTTGGGTTCTCGTTAGGGCAGTACACTCCCCAGTAATGGAATGGTGGGCAGGGGGGCATCACTACTTCAACACTACTAATATCACAATTTTAGTAAGAATTATTTCTACCCAAAAAAAATATATATGCCATTTTGTACTTTTAAAATATGTACCGACATTTTGTGCTAGTGTAAATGTGTAATACTATCGTGATGGTTTACATTGATATAAAATTTTGGTACAATTTTTTTAACTAACATTTTGTGTCAATGTACACTTTTAAAATGTTGATGCTTCTTTTTGGGATACAACTTGGGATATATTTCTTGGTGTACTCCTAGCAGAATTGTTTAGTAAAGCCGTCCTTTTCACCTAAGAAAAATTGAAAATGAAATGGTATGGATTGAGATTAATTTACAAAAAACATAAGGAGAAATTATCTTGAACTAATCTCACATTTCAATGAGTTTTCAATAATTATCTTTTTTTTTGTGTTATGTGAAATAATTCTTGAGTATTTTTCAAGTGCTTACGCGTTTGGGTCACCTTAATAACCTTTTGACGAAAAGCTAGTTAACAGAATGATGAGTAGGATATTCTTGTTTTTGTTATTTGCCAAAAATAATAGTCCCTCCGTCCGAAATGGTTCTTCCGAATTTCTTTTTTGGTGCGTTCAGAAATAATCTTTCCATTTCCTTTTTTAGTATACATTTTAAGGATAAATTTTAATGTGAGATTATTTTGTGGAGTTACGTAAAATAATCTCATCATATTATATTGAATTGCATAAAGAAATCCTACATTTTAACTTTTTTTTCTTTAAAATTTTGTTTGAATTCAACCTTATTGAGCTCTCACAAATCCAATTTTGGAAGCTCGATTAAGTACATAAATTTGAAAATTAATACGAGGCATGTTCCATAACCTTATTTGTACAAAAAAAATAATGTACACGACATTAATGTCCTTGTTTGTACATGCAAAAAAGACGACTGTCAATGTTCTTGTGGCTTGTAACTACAAAAAAAGTAATGTCAATGACGTTCAATATCCTTGTTTATTTCTACAACAAAAACATCCACGAGCCACGACTTTAGTGTCTCCATTTCTACAAAAAAGACTAATGTCTACAATGTGTAATGTCCTTGTTTTTACAAAAGAAGTACAATATGGGAAGAACATAGTGCTCTTTAGGTAAATCTATTATGTTTAGGTGATATTTTAAGTATAATCGGTGAATGTAAAGGCAAGGATATATTTGGAAATATAATGAAACTCGTTAGACTCAAATAAATGTGGGAAGCCAAAATCCCAACAACTCTAAAGTGAGTTCATAATTTTTAAATAAAACAAAAAAATCTTTAGGTTTATGGGTTTATCTAAGATTTTCCCTTGAACACATTGCCCATATGCAAGCCTCCATTTGACGGAGCCGTTTCATTTATTTCTTCTCCAATGAGTCTTGTCCAGGTAAAGCTGGCACAGAAGACGAGGCAATGAACGACGCAAAAAACCGCCGTTAAGTATAGAAGCGCCCGTTTGGAGATCTCACACCCGCCGTCCCTCTTCTTCTTGTATATCAAGCCGAAATATAGTAAAAATCCGTTTACAACTAACGGCGCCCTGCTCATCCCAAAGTTCACTAAATTAGTACTCTCTCCGTCCTAAAATGTTCTTCCCACTCACTTTTTACCCGGTCAAACTTTAATCACTTTCTTTACCTATTTTCATTATATATTTGATAAAATAATATAGTCTTGTCACCACTTGTTTTGTAGAACTTTTGATGTAGTTTTTAAATATATAAATTTTATTTTTTTATTTTACACCTACAATCAAATAAATTGAATTGAAAATAAAGTCGGTCAAACCTCGTAAAATGAACCGGGAAGAACATTATAGGACGGAGGGAGTACTTATTTTATGATCCAAAAACAATTTCTTGTTTTTTTAAACATTGCTAGCTCTATGACAATACAATACTCCATTTAATATCCACTCCATTTGTGATAAATGGACTAATAATATACATCTAAAAGTTAGTTAACATTTAATATCCTTCTATGTGTTTTGATGACAAAGTTATCGATTCCACCATAAGTCGAGTGAGTTTAGTCATAAGAGATATTTGCACTAAATATCACTAAAATTTAAGTCATTTTTCTAAATACAACTTAAAACGTTTTACCCCTTAAATAGCACTTAATAATGTCCAGAAGAAGGAATAATGTCCAGTGATGGCGCACATTTATTTGAATAATACCTAATGGATAATGACTAAAAGTATTACATTGGAAAAAAAACACATATGATGCTATTTAGAAAAAGTAATTATGCTTTAGTACTATTTAAATAAATTCCTCTAGTCATGATAAGGTGAATTTAGCAACACTTTTTTAAAAAATGTTTTTTTGCTAATTTTATATCTTTCCCGAATTCATCAAAACACTTTAGTAATCAGGATCAAAGTGAATTAATCTACTTCTTTCATTTCATTACTCATTTTATAAAAGTAAAAAGTGAACTGTTTATCCCCGAATTCTTTAGAATATTGTTAAATCCATCCTATTATGACTAAATCTATTCTATTTATAGTTAAATAGACAATTTTGCCCTTAAAACACATAGAAAGATATTACGGAGTATATGTTAGCTAATTTTTAAAGATAAATTTTTTCACTTAACATAAATATATATTGTTAGTCATATTTTCGATTCGAAAAACAAAGAAGATAATTAAAAAAAGAATGTTTAGAATTTGGACGTACCATGTACACAAAATAACAAGATTTCTTATATGCTCCTTATTTCGGATACGGAAATAATAAGTGAGCCCAGAAAGTATCATAGAAATTATAAGACATGCGCTTACTACGCAAGCACACCTAAGAACAAAGGTAGGCCCAGACAGTTTTCCATCACAATCCGTCTTATTCACCTGAGATCCATAAATACATATAAACATATGATGATGATGACTAATGATGATAGTAAATCAAATTAATTATCAGATTATATTGGCTTGTTTAAAATAACATGTGTTGACTATGGTTATGTTCTCTTCACCTAATCTAATTACGGAGTAGTTCTGATCTGATTGAAATAGGTTCTGGTCTGGTATGATATAAATGTAGTTATATTTAAAATTATTTATGATCTGATCTGGTCTGATTTGATTTCAATAAGAATAAGTAATATGTAAAAAAATAAGTTGGAAAGAACATGGCCTAAGTGAGTGTTTCTTGTGATTATAAGCTGATAAAAACTGTTTATAGGCTGTTTTTAATTTATAAGTCAGTTGATGACCCGTTTCGATGTGTTTATAAGCTGCATATAAGTCAACATCATAAGGTCATACCTAATTATTCTAAATCAGTCTTTTCATTTTTTTTCATTTTGACCTGATTATTTACAATACTATTTCTCACCTTATATGGATTTTCCTAAATAACATGCCTCAGCTCTGATTTTAAATCATTTTACGTCTACGAAAGAACAATGAACTTATAAGTAACTTATAAGTTAAAAAGAGTTTATCGTACCAACAAGAAAAGCACCCCATAAGATATCATTTTCGGACACTAAATTGATAAAAATCATCACCAGTCATTTTTGGTGATGCGGTATTCGAAAACTAAATCGATAAAAATCACAAGTCATTTTTCGTACACGGGATTTATGAAAAACTTACAGTTTTGGGACTGCCCATTGCTACAACAAATGCAAAAATTGTTGCCAAAACATCTGCAACAATAACGGCCTTCAATAACACTTGCCACCGCATTCTAATGTGCTTTCAAAAACTTCCTTCTTAGCTAAAATGGGGGATTATAAATTTATAATGATGCACCAAAGGCATATATCAACCACATATATAGATAACTTTTGTCCCAAATAAAATTAAAGGCACATTCACTTTTTGACATAACCTAGTCAATAAAAGTTCTAATTTTAGTAAGACTCGAGTTTGATTCTTGATAATTGAGTTGGAAGACAATTATGTTAAGCATAAGACTTCCCAAGTATCAGGTACATGCTCAACTTTTTGCCACCGATCTGCGATCAAAGTCTAATTTATCTTCTCTCGATGACCATCCGACCGGGTCTGAGGAGGCCCTCGGGGATGAGGCTCATCCTTTTTTATTCAATTTATTTTAAATTTTTAATCGTTTATACACACACAGACTCTCTCTCTCTCTCATATCTCAACCAAACGATGTCATATCATAGGTAAATTTTGAAAAATGAACATCACTTTTAATTTATCTAAGTTATGTAAATTCATACTGTAAACTTGGTTTAGGAACCGTCCCACATCTTCAAATTTTGTTCACACAGATACTATAATTGTCTCAGTTTAAATGAGCTTGTGATGTTTCAATAGAAATCATCCTAAATAGAACTAAAACATAGAGAAAAGAACCAAAATAGGACTTTCATGTTTTTTTCCCGGAATAGAACTTTGCACTGTGAAAATGTGACTTTGCATTGTGGTAATG